CGGTAGTGGTGGTGGTAGTAGTAGTAGTAGCAGTTGCAGTAGCAGTAGCAGTCGCAGTAGCAGTAGCAGTAGTAGTAGCAGTAGCAGTAGCAGTAGCAGTAGCAGTAGCAGTAGCAGTAGTAGTCGTAGTAGCAGCAGCAGCAGCAGCCGCCGCAGCAGCAGCAGCAGCAGTGTTGATTCCTGGGTCATCTCCGCCATGCTGAAAGCAAGTTTTAAACATCCAGGGCTGTATGTACATGTGGGCTGGTGCAGGGTCTGGGGTCTGGAAGCCATTGTAGGGATCTAGGGCCAGATCCAGGAACATCTCGTGCACGGAGTGAGGTTTGGAATCTGTTGTCCAGACCACCAAAGTGTATTTTGGCTCAGGGTCTGCAAAAAACAACAATTGGTTTCGTTTTGAAGTCTGGCCCAATCCTTAACTCACATCAGTGACGTCTATGTGCGTTTTGCTCTGATTGAATGGCTTGGAAATCTGACCAAATCCTTGACGCACATCAGTGACGTCGATGTGCGGTTTGCTCTGGCCTGCAAAGACAACAATTGGTTTGGTGTAGAGATCTGGCCAAATCCAAAGCGCACATCAGTGATGTCTATGTTGCTTTGGTCGGCAAGCATCAACAATTAGTTTAGTTTAGAAATCTGGCCAAATCCAAAACGCACATCAGTGACGTCTATGTGCGTTCTGCTCTGGTCTCCACAAAAAACAACAATTGGTTTGGTATTTGGCCAAATCCAAGCCGCACATCAGTGACGTCTCTGTCCTCCTGCACGTCCCGGGCCCTTGGGGGTGCAGAGGGGGTGGGGGTGGGGTGGGGGGTTGGGGTGGGAGGCCCCAACCCCGGCCGGCAGATTGGCCCTGCACCCAAACCACACGCTGAGTCGTCGGAACACATCGGAACAGCACCCCCGACCACAGACAAAACCATGACAAAACCTCTCAGTATGCTTAAACTGACACCAATGCCCTGGCCGGCACCGGAGAGGTGCCGGTCATGGTGCCATGCGCCTGAGAGGTTTTGTCTGTGGTTGATGTGTTCTGATGGGTTCCGAGGTCCCCGGCCCAACCCCCGCCCAGCCAGGCCCCACCCCACCCCTTACAAGAATGTCAAAGGACTCATCATCAGAAATAAAATCGTATTCTGTTAGTTTCTGACTGTTCTCAAAATCAACAGGAAGAGTGCACTCATTATAACCGTCTTCCTCCGTACCTGCGGCGTCTTCCTTTTGGGTTCCAATATCAGTGAAAGTTGTTCTTTCTGAACGATGTTTTTTGTATTGGGTTAGCGGTTTTCTCGGAGAAATTATAGTTGCAGTTACGGATTGTACTTCTATTGAATTCCTTTTTTGTTATTGTTACAACCGCCTTGGTAAGGTCACTTATCGTCTTCTGAGCTGATCGGCTCTGTAAAGCTACATAACATTATACTTCCAGAGATTCAAAGAACATGATAATCGAAATGAAGCGGGTGACTACGCAGGAAACGTTCAGAAGATTTGACAGTTGAAAATTCTTACTTGAATATCTTGAATATATGGGTGGTGGTGACGGCCGTTCTTAGTTGGTGAAGTAATTTGTCAAGTTAATTCCGTCAACGAGCGAGATTTTGTCTGGCGTTTGAATTCAATACAAATGATTGTAATGACTACAGTATTTTTTATAGTTATATTGTAGATTCTACTATATAACTATATTTGTATGAAAAATTGGAGTTTATTCCTTGTGTCTACAAGAACATCCGAACTTATGGGTACGGACAAACTTTTGTGATACGGGTTTAAAACAAGGCAACGGCCAACAATTATCTTATCGAGGTCTTCCTTTTTGGCGTTGTGTTCATTCAGTTTTAGCGACTTAATCTATATGTTTTTGTCGTCTCAACTCTGTGTGTTATGTTCAGCATCGCCTGCTTTAATTCCCCCCCCCNNCAAGAATGCCCGGAATGTGTAACATTCGGTACTTCACCCCACCCACCCCACCCACCCCACCCCACCCCACCCCACCCCGCCCCACGCTTGTGCATTTTGGATTTGGCCAGATTTCTACACCAAACCAATTGTTTTTTGCATACCAGAGCAAAATGCACACAAACGTCACTGATGTGCGTTAAGGAAGCCAATTGTTGTTTTTGCAGGCCAGAGCAAAGCGCACATAGACGTCACTGATGTGCGTTAAGACTTTGGCCAGATTTCAAAACCCAACCAATTGCATGTTGTGTTTTGTAGGACGCACCAGCCACCCCTGCACCTTACCTTTGTGCATCTTTGCGCAAGAGCATAAGCCACTGAGATCAGGCACCGCTAGACGCACCAACCCCCCGCACCTCACCCTTCCACCCAGCACCCTGGCTGTTTTAAGCATACTAGGCCCTTACTAAATAATACCACGCAGAACAGTAACAGCACAATGCAGGACCTGATTTGCGGCTAGGCTGGCAGTTTAGAAACCTACGGGATCTACCTAGATTGGTTCTGTCAGTGCATCGTGTTCGTTGAGTGCGATATGCCGCAACGCAAGTCCGAAGGGTTTTCGCTGTCGCTGTTGCTTGACAGCTTTTGTGGCAGGGCGAGGACATGTTCTTCTACTGGGTGCCAGCCTACAGAAAATACTTTGGTTGCCAGCGATACATGGAGTCAGGGGATGACTTGTTTGCAAGAGTACAGCGCGCCACAGCCGGCTCGGAGGACTGATCATGTTCGGGGCTTTGCAGGAACACTAGTGATTGCATTTCTGCAAATCCTATCATTGACCACCGCAGTTCCATTGAACCCTCTAGCTGCGACACGCGTGCTTGACATGATATCAGGAGATGATGAAGCCCCCTGCCATAGCCTTCTTCGGTCACAGAAGACAGCAGTGGTTTGAGAGCCCGGACACCGATGATCCTCATTGGCGCCCGAGAGATGTAACATACACCGAACTCACATCGGACCAACTCGCGGATGAGGACTTATTCAGCCGGTTTGAGGAGGAGGAGGAAGTGAAACCACGGCAGAACCCATTGCGAAATCCACAAACTCCAGCTCCAGGTGTCGCGTGCCCATCGACACCAAATTTGACACCCCTCCCGCAAGCTTGCCCCTCGACACCCACTCAGGCTCTTGGCCAAGCAAACCCATCCACACCGAATCTCCCACCCATGGAGGCTTGCCCCTCGACACCCACTCAGGCTCTTGGCCAACCAAGACCCTTGGAGGCTTGCCCCTCGACACCCTCGCAAGCACCCGGCCAGCGAAGCCTAGGCGCAACCGATTGCGCGATTGGTTTCGGGCTGACACCCTTCCATCCCCCACCGGCCCCAGCTCCTCAGGCACCCAGCCAACCAAGCCGGCCCTACCCGCAAGCCCAGTCCTTGGCACAACCCTCTCAGGCCATTCACATGCCGACACTGGCCCCGCAAGCTCAGTCACAGCCAGAGGCTTATCCCTCGACACACCCCTCCCACGGACCCGGCCAACCGAGCCCATACATGCAGGCCCTACCATTCGGTGGAGTGCAAGCTGTCACAGGCCCAACGCAGGCGCCCTGCCCGCAGCCAGGTACGCCAACACGCCAACTGCCGCCACCCAAACATCTGAGGAAAGCAGCTGGACAAGGCATGTCTGCTGTGAATCTTCTGCAGCAAAGCCTTGAAATTGAAGAGTTGAAACTAGTCCAATGCATCCTTGCGCCAGACACCATTTTGTCTAATTTAGTCCAGCAAAGAGACTATCGAGAGGTAGTGGGCAAGTTGGCCACGAGATCCACCCTCTCAGACTCCTCTAGCCTCTACCTGTGCATTCCCAGCGTGCCTGCGAGGTCCAGATATGTGCTGAGACGCAGACCTCAAGGCGATTCCGACTTGAGAGTAGGCATGAGTAGACTGAGTAGACATGTTATATAACATTGGGTTGCTGATTCTTTTTGCGAATCCGGGCTCTTGGACGGCGTACGTAGCCCTGAAACCGCGCACCGGAACTCTAAACATTCACCCTCCACCACCCTCCGTCCCTGGCCGCCCCCTGGTTCATGCCGCGAGACCCTGCCTGAAGGGTCAGCACTTGCAGAGGAGCAAACCGAGTATGAGCGGCCTTAACGTTAAACGACACCCTCACTGTCTTGATGCACCGCTGCTTGTTGCTCCTTGAGGATTCAGTTCAGGTGGATGTAGGACTCAGGGATTCTCGGGTAGGGTCTGACAGAAAACTCTCCCTCTGAGTCTGGAAATAGTTTGGCGTTCGCAATAAGACGAATAACTCCTCCCTCCCCCTCTCTCTCTCTCTCTCTCCACGTCTTTCTGTTCTTATTTGCTGTTTGGCTCTCTTGCTCTCGCTCCCTCCCCTACTCGTAGTTCACCTGATCGTTCCGGCGCTTCGCTGACAATTCCGTTGTCGGTATTGAAGAAGCATGCCGGCATACCGCAATCTGTAGTCCAGGAAGTCAAGTGCATACAGAGAAAGGGTCGATAATATCCTAAGACGATGCGGCTTTGGCCCTTGCCGGGAAGGTCATCGCCAAGCTCAAGTTGTCAAGCAGAACGCAACCAAAAGCTGCTGATCTGACGGACTGATAAATTTCCAGCTTACTTGGGTAGGCATCAAGAAATTCATGGCTCCGGCAGGCCGTGCGCTGTGCGCGCTCACGGTTGCTGCTCAAAGCTGTTGTGCACAGGTTGCCCCACGGTAGCGGATTTGCGATAGCTGCTATGTATATGCCTGTGTGTGTATGTGTGTGTGTAT